ATAATACCATATAAACCTGTGAGGCCTTATTATCAGGCTGCAGTTGAGGAAGGTATTGTTGTTGGTGGTGGATGTGCTTTGTTAAGACTTGCTTCTAAGGTGGATGCTATTAAGGATTCACTTGCTAATGATGAAGAAAAGGTAAGCCTTCCTGACAACGTACCGACAGCTAGATCTGTTCATGGGAGATTTCAGATTTTTTATAGTTCCTTACTAAATTTATTGATTTGCTATAGGTTGGAGCAGATATTGTTAAAAGAGCATTGAGTTACCCTCTAAAATTGATAGCTAAGAATGCTGGTGTTAATGGAAGTGTTGTGAGCGAGAAGGTATGAGATGCGGTTGAGTTACCATGAGCAGTACTGTACCATTTTATAATTTTTGGTTTCTCCTGTTATTTAATCATTTGCAGGTGCTCTCCAATGATAACCCTAGGTATGGGTTCAATGCTGCCACCGGAAATTATGAGGATCTTATGACTGCAGGAATTATCGATCCAACCAAGGTTAGTAAGAACCTGCCTCTTAAGGGAGGTGGGTGAACTATTTTGGGCTGTATTTTGTTTTTCAAAACAGGTGGACTTTTGAAGATTCATTCAGTATTTCTGTGCTTGTATTATTGCTAGCATATTAAACCTACATTCTTTCCCATCTTCAGTTGTGGTTACAGCGAAGTGAAGTTGCAGAAAACTTACGATGATTGCATTTTTCTTAATATATAGGTGGTCAGGTGTTGCTTAGAGCATGCAGCTTCAGTGGCCAAGACATTCTTGATGTCCGATTGTGTGGTTGTTGAAATAAAGGAACCCGAGCCCGTGCCTATGGCCAACCCCATGGACAATTCAGGTTTGCACTTCAGAATCCAAAGTGATTCCTTGTTCTTTTCGTCTAAATATCAGATGCTAACATGTTGTCGGGATTGTGGATTGTGTCAGGATACGGCTATTAAAGGAGATGTTAAAACTGAAAGCGAATAAGGTATCGGATCTCCATTGTAGCCATGGTTAATGTGTTTAGAGTAGAATGCATCTTTTCATTGTCGATTGAGGGAAAATTCATAAGATTATGTAACAATTTTGAGCACTTTTTTCAAGGGAAGGAAGAAATTTGGTATTTTCAATTATATTTAGCAAATTCTACATGATTGTTGATGTTGTAACCCTTCATCAGATCGACCATTTGGGCAAGATTGATTTCCATTTTGGGCTGCAAGGGTACTTGTCTGTCGAGTTTTCTTTTCGTAGGGGTACACCATGTATTTTGCTGTTTTTTTTAAGGATCACAAAGTAGAAACAATGGAGACAAGTATCATAATTACTTAAAGATATGAAACTTAAAGACCCACAAAACGAGGAATAAAGGAAAAACTTAAGAATGGAAGCAAAATTAACGAAGGCAGCAGTGTCCAGAACTAATATTGTCAAATCATAAAGCTCGGCATGATAATGGGTTTGGTTTGGTCTGGTTTTTGGTTGATCAGATTTGAAAATATATATCCTAAACATGATATAACTCAAAAAACATAAACATCTTTTATTCAATTTTAATCCGTTTTGAATTTTTAGAGTATAAATTTGATCTGGTATAAAATAAGCATTTAATTAAAAATAATAAATAGAGGTGATTTTATAATAATTATCTGTAAATTTATTTAAAGAAATAATATTATTGTTTTTGAATTAGGTCGGATAAAAGTTTTTCACTGAATTCATCAGGTTAAACTAAAATCCATTGATTTCGAAGTAAATTGTTATTTCTGCGTAAAACATGCTTCATGAGTCGAAGAGTAAATATAGTAGGATAGTAGGCTGCTCCCAACACCATGTTGAGAGCAGCTTCCATGGAAGATTTCCATTATGAATTACCCTTAGTGAGACTCGATCTCACGACCACAAGATTAAGAGTCTTGCACTCTACCAACTGAACTAGACGGACAATTCATTTAGCGTAATAATTCATATTCATATTTTATATTTATAATAAAATAATAATTAACACGATTTGGATTAATTGATTGTTATCAATTTGTTCAAAGTTGAAAAGAATAGGATATGCGTAGCTTCACTAATCCTGTTTTCGATTTTATTTGTAGAGTTTGTAATAGGAGTAACATCAAAAGCGATCATGTAACTTCAATTAATATGTTTAAAAATATAATCGATAAGAAAAATAAGTTACCAAATTATATATTTTCAAGGTAAATATCATATTCGAATCTATATAAAATGAAATACAATGAATCTTTTGACTGTTTGACCTATTAATAAATCTCATAGACTATGTTTTTTTACTTTAGGTGTGAAGTATTTTTTTTGCTTAAGTTAGGTGTTTTACGTTTTCAACGTTATTATTTTAAATGTCTGATTCATCACGATCATTAAAAAATTGCTAACCATTCAAAATATGACACATGTCGCGTTATACAATTTTAAAAATTATAATTTATCAAAAATTACAACAAAAAAGTTAAAAAAAAATCCTAATTCTAAACTCTCATTATCAACCATCACAGATCATCGCCATTATTATTGTGATCGTAGAACAATTGGTCATCTATCACCGATCATCACTATTACCATGTGTTCGTCAATGCTGCTTATGGAATTGGGTGCATTGGCGTTGGTAAGAAACAAATAGAAGCTGCTAACTTTTACCCTAGTAATTTGCACTACTACTTTTGCCCACCACATGTTAAATTTTCGTATGGCAGAGGTTTATATCACAAATAAATAAGTATATTTTAATTTTTATTTAAGTATTTAAAATATTTTTAACTAAAATATACATTTATAATTAGTTTTAATTAAAATATGTACCTAAAATATTTTATGTCAAAATTTTTTATTTAAGTTTTAAAAAAATTGACATGTAGCATTAAATAAAGAATACTTTAAGTACTTTGATGAAAAAAATTAAAAATTTTAAGCACCTATTTTGACAAAAAAATATTTTAGTTACCTATATTGACAAAAAAGATAACTTTAGATATATATTTTAATCAAAAAATACTTTAAATATTTAAATGAAAAAAGATAATATACCCTAGGTACTTATTTGTTATATAAACCTACTGTAATTTTGTTGTTTCCCATGAGAATGGTTGGGACGAGGGTTAGATTGACATTCGCATCCAAAATTTAAAATTATCATATATTTTAAATTTTTTATATAATTATTATTGAAAATCTATTTTCGTCCATTTGAAATTTTTATAAGTATGCCCATTCTTAAAATTTTAAAAATTCATCATTTAACATAAATTTTTATGTTTATCCATGCCTATGGATTACTATCAAAAGTTCTTATATGGGAATGGGAGATAAATACAAATGGTTTTATTAGTTTTGTGATTAAATCATAATTCGATTGATTTTGAAGGTTTTGTGAACAATGATGAAGACAATGAATGAATGAATATTCGACAACAACGATGAAATCAATGATGATTGATGATGAAAAATATACATAGTTTTAAGATTTTTTTTTTTAATTTTAGAAAAATTAAAGTCTTTTAAAAAAGATAATTTTAAGTTTTTTAATTAAAAATTTTAAAAATTTATACACATGACACATGTTACGTTTGAATTGTTGAAGGTTTTCATAATAATTGTGATGAATAAAACACTTGAAATGATAATCTTAAAAATATTTTAAGCATTTAAAGTGAAAGATGTATAATTTGAACAATTATTTTTTTATTAAAGTTGTCGCGGTCGCCTTTTAGGTGGGCTCGAAATTAAACTTCGACTTAGGAAAATTGTTTGGAGTCGTCACCGATCGTTTTAAAAATATTTAGGTAAATCGGACATTATCTTACCTGATCTGTGTTTTACCAGAAATGTATTAGGTTCGGGAATCGGTTACGGTTAAGGAAGAATTAGCACCCTTGAACCGCCCTTTCGGTACCAATTAATTTGTCGGTTGTCTTAATCGCAAAAATTAAAATTTAAAAAGCCGATTCGAATTGCTTATCTTTGATCAATTGAAATTACTACTAAAAATCAAAGATATGTTAGAGGATAGAATACAAAACATCGAATAAAAATTAATTAAATAAAAGAGAAATAAATAAATGAATCAACGAACTCAAAAAGTCTATAATAAAACGAAAAAGGATTAAATTAATCAATAAATTCAACAATCACTTACATCAGCTTCAACATTTGCATGAGATTCATCGTTGGGGCTGGAAAGCTTTGATATAATATTCAATAAAATACTTTCAAATGTATGGATTGACATCCAACATTCACGTGCAAGCTCATAGCCATTTGGATCCACTCGGAGGATGAAGAATTGAAATACAAACACGCCCGTAAGAGAGTGTTTGGTTGGGGGAATGTGAGATTCTCATGGGAATGGAATCCACATTCCCCCGTTTGATTGGCCAGGAATGTCATTTCTGGTAATCTTACATTACCAATAGTGGATTTTTTAGGGTATATTACCGGGAATGTCATTACCTCTCTTTCTTTAGGTATTGTTGGATTACCAGCGTTTTAGACTAAAATGTCCTTTAAAAAAATTTCTTTAAAAAATATCCTTATTCTGTCATTGAATAATAAAAATTCTATGAAGGTTAAATTACAAATTTATCCTTAAACAATTTTAGATTTACAAAAAAAATCTATAATTAAAATTTTATATGAAATTCAGAGGTTAAAATAAAATTTTACCCTTTCATTAAAACTTTTTATATTTTCAATTTTGTAAAAAAAGTATATAAATTTTATGAATTTAAATTTTTAAAGAAAATATATAAATATTTTTCAACTTGTTAAAAAACCAAATATATAATAAGGACAATTTGGTCAAATATACATTCAAATAATCTTTTATTCCTTTAACCAAACATGGTAATCTTACATTCCTGCTAAACCAACCAAACACAAAATACAACATTCCCAGTAATCCTATTCCCTGGTAATCTTTTATTCCCACTGGTAATCTTACATTCCGTGAACCAAACGCACCCTCATGATAAACGTTCGGGTGCCAAATCTATGTTGTAAATTTCACTGTTGGAGGGCTATTTGGGTAATTAGGCAAAAAACTCATGATGGCATTGAAAAATTCCCCTTCATAAAGAGTATCAGGAGGTCCAATAATCGTAACACTCCATTCAAAGATATTGTTCTCATCAACCAATCCGGCCGAGAACCCATCAACCAGATTCTTACAAAGATCTAATAGTCCATATTAAATAGCCACTGGAAATCGTCGATATATGCTTTGATCCGTCTGTTATGTCGACCCCTGTCAAGATGTACCAGGAATGATATCTGCAGCAACATTATACGTGCTTGGATTCTGATTTAACGACATACCATAGTCGTAACCATAACCACCATATTTATCTTCAACGTGAGGTTCAAGTTTGCGATCCTCTTCGCGCTTCTCAAGCTTCCTCATCACATGCTTACTCTTCTTAGTTTCCTCGGCAGTGCTTTCTTGTTCCTCAGCAGAGATCGACAGCAATGACAGCTTCTCCGAAACGACGGCCAGATCGGAGTTGTCCGATACGATACAGTCATTATCTTCCCTGATGATCTTTTGCTCATCCGGAGGAATTGAAGTGAGGGAGAAGAGCTGGAACTTAAACACTTCCAAAATAGTCGTCAGTGTCATAATCGACGGTAAACGTTGAGTCGTCGTGGCGAACCAGGAACTTGCCAACAACCATTTTCTTTTTTGGTTTTCTCCTTATCCGTCCTCCCCCTCTGTCTCCAACTTAAAGTTGATTTATATTGTTGAGTTAATCGATTGACTGAATCGGCCAAGAGGGGGTGAATTGGCAATAAAAATTTTGGTGGAAGCTTTTGCAGAAAATTGAAAAAAATTGCACAGCGATTTAGAGTGGTTCGACTTTATCAACCAAAGTCTACGTCCACTACCTTAGCTATCCACACTAAGGATTTTCCAACAAATTCACTAATTTGTTCTTTCTTTTGAGGCCAAAGAGATAACCTTACAACTCCCTCAAGAATATACCCCAATTCTTGAGAACACTCTTTTCTCAAAGAGAAATACAAATTTGCAAACTTACAAGAAAAACCTCACAAGGCAAATATGTTTGCACAATTCTAGAACAAAGAAAGAACACTCAAGAATAAATATAATTGAGCACAATAAGTGTTCTTGAAAGCAAAATGAATATTGAATGAAAAATAGGCTTGAAATGCTCAAACTTGAGGTTTGATGCTTTCTCTTTGATTCTCTCTTGATTCTAATTGCTTGATGTTTCTTGTTATTGATCAATGGCTTCTAAGCTTGCTTAAATACACCTTGAATCACTTCTGAACGTTGGGGATGATTAGAGAAAATAATATAACTGTTTTAGTGTGAAAACAATTAATAAAACAGTTTGGAGCGTGGGGGAATTGATACCCCCTATGGGGAATCGGTTCCCTAAGTATAAAATTTAAATATTTCGACCGTTATACAAGGGGGGAATCGGTACCCCCTGTGGGGGAATCGGTTCCCTCCGAGCATACTGGAATTCTCGGAGCCAAACCATTCAGGGGGAATCAGTACCCCCTTATGGGGGAATCGGTTCCCTCTGAGCAATCTGGAATTTTTGGCTTTGAAATGGTTCGAAATACTTTGTAAAATTATTTTGAAATTGTTTTAAGTTTAAAACTTAATTTTACACTTTGAGTAAGGATTAAAAATGATCTTTGAAAGATTTGGAGTAATGTTTTGATATTCGAATAATTCTATCGAATATACTTAGAAAAATTATTTAGAAATTCTTAAAATTCATTTAACTTAATTTGTTATATCGAAATATCAAAATGTTTTCAACAATCTCCCCCTTTTTGATATAACAAAACATTTTAGTAATTTTAAGATTTTGAAATCAAGTTTTGAAATTACTCCCCCTTACTTTAACACTTCTCTCATTTATCATTTAAAAACACTTTAACACTTCTCCCCCTTTTTGTTAAATCAAAAAGACATTTTAAAGAATTTAAACAAGGTTTTGAAATCAGTTAGCCAATTGATTATATATAATATAAGCTGCTAAGATCACAAACAAGAGAAACGTTAGCCATTAGTTTCATAATCAATATTCATAATTAATGTGAAATGGCAAAATTGGTCATATATCTAATCATGAAGTAAATGATGCAATAATGAATAAATTTAATCACACCAAATAGGTAATTTCTAACCATTCATAAATCCAAACAAATTCAAAGTCAATCAATCTACAAATTCAAACATTACAAAATATTCAAAATGTTAAAAACAATAAGTTTGGAGTTCAAAGCAAAACATTGAATCACATATCCGGATCAGGAGGAGGAAAACGAGCTCGCATAGCGGCCATTTCGTTAGTGACGTCATTAATACGTGCGTTGGTTGCTTCATTATTTGCACGCATTTCCCGAAGAATTTCTAATTGTTGAGCTCCTATTATGGATAAATGGGGCTCTATAGAAGTAAAGCGCGAATCCATAGTAGCGTATCGAAAATCGAATGTCTCCATAAAGGATTGGAAATATGGAGGCATTGGATGCGTTTGTTGTGCTTGCTCTTCGGGCTGCTCCTCGGGCTGCTCAGGCTCATCTTCGGCTTCATCGATGTCTCGCATTAATTGCTCAAGCTCGAGATCTTCGTCAGCTTCAGGTGGAGCTTGTGAAGAACTAGCTCCCGGAGTATTTGCAGAAGATCGAACCCATTCAGCGGTTTTCTTATCCTTAATCCATCCCGCTCTCGTTAAGGAAAGAAGGTTAATTTGTTTCTTAAGGGGGAAAAAGGCATCTAGACCGACTCTAAGCCCAGCTTTGGAAAACAGATTACTTAAAATGCAACCGTAAACAAGAGATGAACAGAGTTTTTTTGTTAGGAACAAGATTTACGGTTTCAACAATTTCAGCAAAAATAATCTGAGGTAGGTTGATTTTAATATTGTTTTCGAAACAATGTAACCACCAAAGGTCTAAGGCTCTAAGAGTAGAATGACAACCTCCGGATGGTCGAAACCACCAAGAAATCATTAGATGAAGAAAACGTTAATGAAGGTCTAGGACACTTGCACTATTCTTTCTTTTATAACGAGATCCTAAAACCTGTTTTTCATTTGAAATACCATCATTATCTAATCCGAATGTATTGGCTATGTAAGCCGAGCCAATAGATAAGAATTGTCCTAGAAGGTAGGAACGAATTCCTATGGTTTCGGTTTCAGTTTGGTTTTTAACACAAACGACATTAGAATAGAAAATACAAACAAGTTGATGGTAAACGATGGGTTCAAGGTCAAAGAGTTTATCAAATTTCCACTCTTGTAAAAGAGGAAGATATTTAAAATTGATAGCTAACATAGCTTGACGAGAAGGAATACGTTCTTCCCGGATTTTGTAAGAGTCGAAATATTGATAATACCAAAAATGATGATTTCTAGGACCAGGATGATTGAAACACGAATTTTGGATAGTCAAATTAGGATCAATAGGATTAAGATTAGAAATTGGAATAGGTGGAGGATTTGGAGGTGGATTTGGTTGACGGTGTGAACGACTAGATGAAGACCTAGCACGTTTAGGATTGGACATGGTTTAGGAAATCATAATAGAATTGATAACCTGCAATTTAGAAAACACATGTATGCAATTCAATCAATCCCACAACTCAATTGAGTCCTCAATATTTCAAGGTTCTCTAAATCAATCCTAATGGGCAAAGTTTTTGAAAAACTTATGAAAAATATGGTTTTGAGAAACAATATATGTATAGTTTTCATAATAACAACATAATTTAATCAAAACACAATAATTTGAAAATTAAATTTTTTATTTATTTATTTCGAAAATTTAGAAAATTTTGAAAAAATCTTGTGTTTTTGATGAAATTAGTTGTAATATCTAGTTTCTAATTACTAACTAATCAATGCCCGATCAAAAATTCAACCTAGAACTAATTAACACTAGTTCTATGTTCATAAATTGATAAAAAGAAGTTTTTGGAAAAATACCTTGAATGATTTCAGATTTGAGTGAGATTAGATGAAGTTTTCACGTTTTTGATGATTCCAACAGGTTTAGAGGATGATATTTGAAGTGAATTCCGATTAAAAACGTTGATTTGAGGCAAAGTGGAGATATGGAGAGCGTAGAGAGGAGAAACGACGTAAGAGAAGAGAAGAGAGTTTTGGGCCAAAACCAAGGGTTCTGCCCGATAAAACCAGAACCTCAGGGGGGTATCGATTCCCCTGTGGGGGGAATCGGTTCCCTCAAGGGGGGATCGATTCACTCTGCACCAAAATGCTAAAATCTGATTTTAAACACCCAAAATGCTAAATTAATTTCCTCTAGTGGTATTGGCAACTCATATATTGAAAATTAATCATGTTCAAACAATTCAATTAATCTTTAAACGATATTTGAACATAAAATTAATTTTTTAATTTTTTATCAAGAATCATAAACTCCCCCTAACTAATAGCAATGAATGCAATCAAAAATTACTATTATAAACATTTTTCATTTATTATTAAAAGTGCTAAAATTATTTTAAACACTCAGTGAAGATAGATTGGTCAAACCTAATTCTCTCATAAGTGTCCAAAATCGTTCCTTGTCTAAAGGTTTTGTAAAGATATCCGCTAATTGGTGCAAAGTATCAACAAATTCTAGAACTACATCTTCCTTAGTGACATGGTCTCTAATGAAGTGATGTCTTATTTCAATGTGCTTAGTCCTAGAGTGTTGAATGGGATTTTTAGTGAGACAAATAGCACTAGTATTGTCACACTTGATAGGAATGGTACCTACTTCAATTCCATAATCAAAAAGTTGTTGTTTCATCCATAAAACTTGTGCACAGCAACTACCAGCTGAAATGTATTCGGCTTCAGTGGTAGATAATGCAACACAATTTTGTTTCTTTGAAAACCAAGAAATTAGCATATTTCCAAGGAATTGGCAAGTACCGGAGGTGCTTTTCCTATCTAATTTGCATCCTCCATAATCCGCATCAGAAAAAGCATGCAAGCTAAAGCTAGAGTCTATAGGATACCAAAGTCCTAAACTAGGAGTGTCCTTAAGGTATCCAAAGATTCTCTTAAAATCTAGTAAATGTGATTCCTTAGGGCATGATTGAAATCTAGCACATAAGCAAACACTAAACATAATGTCTGGTCTACTTGCCGTTAGATAAAGTAGAGATCCAATCATTGACCTATATAATTTAACATCTACACATTTAACTCCTTCATCTAAGTCAAGCTTTGTTGAAGAGCTCATTGGAGTGTCATGAGGTTTCCCATTTTCCAGTCCAAACTTCTTGAGCATATCTTTGACGTACTTAGCTTGATTGATGAAGATGCCATCTTTTCTTTGCTTGATTTGGAGTCCCAAGAAAAATGAGAGCTCCCCCATCATGCTCATCTCAAACTCACTTTGCATTAGCTTAGAAAATTCTTGGCAAAGAACATCATTAGTAGAACCAAATATTATATCATCAACATAAATTTGAACTACTAATAAATCTTTACCTTTATGCTTCAAAAACAATGTAGTGTCAACCTTCCCTTTTGAAAAACCTTTTCAATTAAAAAATTTTACAATCTTTCATACCAAGCTCTAGGATCTTGCTTTAAACCATAAAGAGCTTTTGTCAAT